AGACTCTGGTTGCTGCTGGGCTTGGCCAGGCCTTGCTCGATCGCGACTTGCCGGCTTCGGTCGCCTTCCACGCCAACACTTCGGTGGCGAGCGTGGCGCGCTACGTCGTTGCTGAGCTGCATCGCCGCAGCCGACGTCGCGGCGAGGGCCATCGTGACAAAGGCGGTCTTCATGGTGTAGTGGTGGTAGTGGTGTCGGAGACGACGCGAGTTGGAAAATGAGCCTATATTTGAAACGCAAGGTCGCGCGCGAGGCGCCTCGAGTGCGCGATGCCGTCGTGCGATCCGTGGTGTGCAAGACAGGGCTAGGGTTCAGCCGCCGTCTGAGCCTGGTGGTCTGAGTCGATAAAACCAGATTGCGATACGATCGAGGGCCACAACGGTCTTAAACAAGGGTAGCTTGTCAGGTGGTGAAACTGTTCTGCGATCGTGTCATCCTTGACAATCGTACTTGCCATGTGCCTGTTTTTACTTGTGGTATCCTGATCTGTCGGGCTCAGACCAACGTCTGAGTAGCGTTTTAGATGTGTTCTATGTATTGAAACCGAGTTTGAATGAACACATTTGCGGATTGAAGCTTGATTTGGCATAGTTCAGTGGCATGTTGAGCTGCTGAGTTTGCTGCCTCCGCTACATGCGAAGGCTGCATACCGGTAAGAGTATCTGTCCGTTGTGCGCGGCAGAACAAAGAGCTTCCCCTGAACCTTCAACTTGTTTTCTGAGGCTTTCCTCAGTTCAATGAGCTTGTACGTTGAATTGTCCGAAAGCGCAAATTCTACGTACTATTATGCCAAATGGAATTCTACCTCACAAACGGTCAAGACAATGTATCCAGTATTGCTCGCCAAGCGTCGTTCGAGTTCGTATCCCATCCAATAGTTGGTAGCTTTAAAGAGCTGCTAGCCCATTGCACTGTATGGGAACCAGAAGCCCCGTTTATGTTCGCCAGTCAAATGCTCGAGAATCTAAAACCTGTCGTAATTTGCCGGTACTGTTGTATGATTTGCGCGTACCACATGCGTCGCTCCTTTGTTTTGCTTGTATCAACAGAGGTCGTATTCCACCCATCCTCACTTGCTAACGTCGTCGAATCACGGTGTTGAATCCTGACCCCAGCATGTCACCGTTCCAAGGAACAAGCAAAAGAAGGTTCACAAGTGGAGGTCTGCGTCTGAGTAGGTGACCTTGCATCTGAGTCCGAGAACAGTTGTCGCAAAAAGCGGGAGTCGGCGGTAGGCAGTCGGCTAGTCGGCTTCAATACTCGGCTAAAAGACCAACCGCTGTAGATGTCCTTAATGAGCCTAACGTAGCCCACGAGTGTGCAGCGACATTGTTCGACCAGAGATGTGAACCACGTCGCTTGAGTCAACGACCTCAACATACCACGGCAGACAGTGTTTCACCGGTGACAACCGCGGACGCGCACCAGCACACATCACCCAGGAAATTCGATGCACGCAACAAGATTGCCTTGCGCGATGCATACCACAGTCAAACAATACGGCAGGGAGCCGCCCAACTAGCTTGCATTACAACTGCAGTATAAGGAGCAACCCGAAATGCCTCGACTTAAACTCTGTCACGCGAACAATAACAAAACATTGTGTCGTTATCACTCGTGTATTCTCGCATTCCGTGTATCTCAATCTGGTTTTATCGACTCCTGCCCTATGACAATGGCCACGATTTCTGGGTCTCTAGTACCCCAACAGGCACTCCCGATCACGAACATCACCCAATCCAATGGTCTTGCATTCACAGACCCTTAGCTTCGTGATCTGATTCTGTTTCCTCGACTCAGACAGACATGTCCCGTATTCGAGCCCTAGCCCTGTCTTGCACACCACGGATCGCACGACGGCATCGCGCACTCGAGGCGCCTCGCGCGCGACCTTGCGTTTCAAATATAGGCTCATTTTCCAACTCGCGTCGTCTCCGACACCACTACCACCACTACACCATGAAGACCGCCTGTGTCACGATGGCCCTCGCCGCGACGTCGGCTGCGGCGATGCAGCTCAGCAACGACGAGCGCGCCACGCTCGCCACCGAAGTGTTGGCGTGGAAGGCGACCGAAGCCGGCAAAGTCGCGATCGAGCAAGGCCTGGCCAAGCCCAGCAGCAACCAAG